GGGGGGGGGGGGGGGGGGGGGGGAGGATGAAGTCAAACCCTATCATTTTTATATAAGTTGGCTACTTACTAATGCACTGATATCTTATTAACTATGACCAATCTCCTGTAGCCTTTATTTAAACAAACACCTGAGATACGAACAGTCCAAGGCCATTTGAAATGTGGACTAGGAAATCTTTAAACTGAAAATTGTGATGTTTTTATTTTTATTTTTTTAAGACTGAGGGCAGGAAGGAGATTTGGGGATGGATGATTAAAAAGTCAACATGAGTATGTGAAAAGCTAGGAGGGATGGAGATCTGAAGGCTTTTTGAGATTTTAGGTAGGGCACAAAGAATTGCCCTCAGTGTAATGTCTGTTTTTGTTCTGTGCACATCCTTAAACGTCACACCCAAATTTCTCTTTATAGTTCTACTTAAAAGCGCACACTGAATTAAAAACACATTCAAATGAACATTAGCATTCAAATGAGCATTCATGACATTATCATTTATTTTCTATCTATCTAAGCAGATTGTATCTGAATTTACATGCAGCTTATCCATAATGTTCCTAAACCCATAGGCACATCACTGATAAAACAATTTCCCTTTAGTTACTAATTGGCCCATGGCAGTAGCTCTGACACTGACAATGAATTCATAGACAATTGCAAATCTGAAATTAATATATGGAGATTGATAGTTATGACAGTATATGTAAAGCAAGACTCTCCAAGCTCAATTAAGTCACTTAATAAAAGCTGAGTGAACGTACCTAAGAGGCATGAGAGAATCTTTGGCTTGGTATTTTGGATTACCTCATTTAAATTTGTTACTTAATTAAAGCATAACTTAATTTTCATATATTATAAATATTTATTAGCTGAATTAACCAGAACTCTTTCAAAGCCAAGATTAGTAAACCAGATCATCAGCTGATATAATTCAGCATCTCCATTACAGTTCATAAAGCAGCTTGAGACTTGGCCTGTTTTATTTATAGTCATCTTCCTTTGCTTAGCATACTTCTGAACTTTATTAGTCCAGCTACATACTCATGTATCTTACAGCTTAAGAACCATAAAAATATACTTAACATATTAGAGAAGAAAGTTAATTTAGCAATACTTACCATCCTGTAAAGTTTATCTTCCAGGTCCTGATTAATTCGTTGTAAGGCTAGGTAATTGTTTTGTATCCTAAAATAAAGAGGGCATCATGTAATTTAAAGTATTTTTTTGCATATTTGTTTTACCTGTACTTTTGCACACTGAGGTTTCCACTAATATAAATCTATTTACATATCACTCTTGCTGCTAATCAGCAGCTAAGAGCCTTGGAAATATAATTACCCTCAGCTTCCTGAGCAACCTACTCTGTCATAGTTGCTTACTATATGTAGAGACAATTTTGGTCAGAAGGCTAGAATGAATTGGGACTAGTGTTGCACTTCTTGCATGGGTGCGTTTGCGGCACCAGGATAGAGCCTGTACTACATGGGCCATGCCCAGAAGTTTTAGTTAATGCTGGGACTGAGGCATGACTTGCAAGTCCTCAGCTACACTGATTCATTTACCAAGCCCTCCTCTTAAGGGGCGATGCAACAGAAACTAATGGGACTCTGAGGCTGCAGCAACAGTCCATAAAGGCTTTTTAGCATATGGCTTAGCAGAGCGAATGCTTTCTCCTGCTAAATCCAAGAAATCCCTGTGCTAGCCTGCTAATCCCATTTCCTTGGCCAGGGAACAAGATTTTAACCTCCAAAAGGCTTTAAATCTTTAAAACATTAAGTGGCAGAGGAACAGAGGAAACAGCAGCTTCCTGTTTATTCTGATGTATGCAAGAAGGTTTCAGTGTCAGCATCTCCAGGCAGCTCTGCTGGTAACCTTAATGATAGATTAGAGAAGCTGACCAAAGTCTGTTCTGCTGGAAAAAATCCGTCATTGTATATCAATCTCTGTGCGTCCCAAATCTCTGTACTTATAAGTCTCATGTGAACCGGCTCTTAGAATATTTTCCATAGCCTATTTCACTTTGTTGTCATATGGAATAGAGCCTTCACTAGTGTACTCAACTATAATGACATTTAATTGGCAGCAGAACTGGGCCTAGGAGGAGGAGTCTGCAACCACCTTTCATTTTTCCCAAGAATTCAGGGAAGTTAGGACCAAGGGATTTGGTTTGACTTGTTGGGGAGATAAGTAGAAGTGTTTAGATCAGGACTAAGATCTGGACTTGTGCTACCCCAGCTAAATCCAGAGCTGAGGAATTGGTCCTACCTCTAAGTTACAGTGCATTAGCAGGGCAGTTCTGAGTTGGTTTTGGTGCACTGTGAAGATTTCAAGGATGACAAAAATCTCTACTCGGCAAGAACCCGGTGGACAGTAACTTTTGGACTGTGCTGTCACTATGTTTACAGAGCTCCCTTTGGGGTTTCAGTGGGGAGACAGGAGGATCTAGCTTTGTTTTTTACAGCTGTTATGCAGATCCGGGAGGAAAACTTTTCCCCCCAGTGAAGCTGTTGTGGTGGGGAGGGGAAGGTGAACATCCCTATGAGTAAAATTCTCCCCTGGGAAGTGCTAGCCCAAGGCAGTTGCATTTCTCCAACCCTATTCTGAGCGCTTAAAGAAGACTTAAGTGCTACATACAGCTATTGCAGGCCCATTGCACAGAAGTGGATTTCTTCCTTCAAGAGCACTCTATGGGAATAATATTTGTTGGCTGGATAACAAAATGGGCTAGAAAGCTGGTGTAACAAGCCCATGCTCTAGACAAGGGGTCAGCCCACAAATTGCGAGCTGAGTGGATTCGATTTTAGAATATCCTTGTGACAAATATCCGGTGAAGTAAAGGCTTGCTCAACACTAACAGATCTCTGCGGTCTCTGTTCCTATTAGATGCAGCAATTCACAGTAAGCCTCTATATAGATGTTTGCTTGCATGTCACTAATCAGACTTGGGACTTTGATGCCTATCCAGCCAGGGATGACAATATGACAGAGAAAAAGATGAGGCTATTTTACATATAACCCACTTCCCCCAGAATAAGCCACATGAGAGGAGACAATGTGCAGGGGAAACTTTAAGAGTCAGCCGGTTTACAACTGTAAAAAAGTTGCAGGTATGAAACATGTGCCAAGACATCATTTATATATTCAATTTTTCCAGGACAGCTTTGCTTCCAAAATGCTGCAGGCCTGCTTCTATGCTGTTTCCACATTTAACTTTGAGTGTAGGATTGATTCCCATTGCCACAGTGTTCCTGACCTACAGTGCCCCCCTACTGTAGACTCAGTGAGAATCACAGGATTAGAAGGGACTTCAGGTATCATAATCATCATACAGATGCAAAATCCACCATTCCTGTACTATCCCTGTCCAATGCCTATCCTGACTCCTACTGAAAACCTCCACTAAAGGTTCTACAAGAAATGTGCCATTGACCACAACTTCCTGCTTCCCCTGGTCTCGCTCCTCTTATTTCCATCCAGTTTTGCTCTGACCATGAATGGTTAGTGGAAAGTAGCATGCAAACCCTACTTTTTCAAAGCACTCCTTTTAAAAAAAAACAACCCCTCACTTCTAAAAGCACTCTGCAAGATCCAAGCCTGAAGAAAACAGCCACAATATATTGATAGATCGATATAGATATATGTGTTCATGAATCTCTTTTATTTTGATTACCTTTGCATGCAGTTCTCAATAGAAGCATTTTTATGAAGTGTTGCTTTGATTTTGATATATAAAATATGTCATAAAAATGGTTCTATTGAGAACTGCATGCAAAGGTAATCGAAATAAAAGAGATACATAAACACATGCCCAGACTCCAAACTGGACAAATAAAAGACCCACAGGAGCAATGTGCATGATAAGAGGGGAAAGGGACCCAGAAATATGTGGAAGAAAACAAACCAGATATGACAGAAAAAAATGTGTCCTAAATATTAAATCGGCATCTTTTAGCAATACGTGAAAGAGAATGTAGGGAAAATGGCTGACCCTAAATTGAAATGACTAACTGGACAAAAAGCAGCAGTCCAACTTATGGACAAAATACCCACCCAGATGGTCTGAACTTTGCAGTCTGAAGCACATTTAAATTGTAAAATCTGCCACCTTCATAAGTTAAATGAAGCCTAAGCAGTGAAATTGCTTCTTGTACTTTTAGAATGTATTCATTTTTCAGGTGAGCTGATCATTTATTATGGTTTTGGTGCTGGGTTTGTGGTGTTGTATAGTACTTGCTTTCCTCTGTGTTTTTTCAGTATGCATTGCACACTTGCATGGGCAGTGCTTTTTCAGTGAGGGTGCTGGGGTCCCTTGAGATCCTTTGAAGGGAGCTACGGGGTACCACAGTATTAGCACTGCTAGGTGTGCAAACATGATTCACAAGACAAACCTGGAGATTTCAGATAGGAGTCCATAGTGTTACAAGCATTCTGCCCTGTTGTGATCTTTCTGAGTTCTTTGCAACAGAAGAATTGCTCTATTTTTCTGTAGGGAAGAAATGAATGGAAACGAAGAGCTGGTTTTTTTTCTGAGGGAGGCCTCAGGTCTAATGAGGGTCGTTCAAAAAAGATTGAGAACCACTGGCATAGGAGATTACTTCTCTGCTTAAAGTTAAGGATATACTGAAGTATTTTGCTGGATCAGGGACTAATATAAAGAATTCTGATGGGCATTAGCATTAAATATCTATAACCTTCTACCAGAAAGAAACCCTTCAACTTGGTTCAGGAGGTCTATATAAACCTTCTGTATTTCAAACCCACTTGATGCCATGACATAAGGCTTACAAAGAGCATAGGCCTTGTGAAGGCCTCCTGGGGAATTTCCCTTCAGATGCAGTTCTGCTTTGGAGAATGAGCATAAAAAATGGCATCTTCTTACTAAACACACGTCTTCTTGGTCTGTTCAAAAGGCATATCTACTCTCCTACAAAAACATGATACTTTATCTCTTGCTAGTTCTTAGAACTAACACAGCTATGAGGCTCCTGTTCATGAAACCTGTTTAGTACATACCAACATCCAGCCGTCTACACTGAAGTGCCTCCTATGTCCATGTTCAAAGCCAAAAGTGTGTATATGTGGATCACATATTTCTCCTCTAAATTCTAACCAAAGACAACAGGGATTGCACAGTTGTTATTGAGGGCATAATTTGAAGATGGCACAGTGACACAAGTGCACTTGAGGGCCTAATATGACCAGTGGAATAAGATCTTGCAAAAGATGGAATGATATTAAAGTGATTCTCAATTTGGAGCCTTGTCTAGGCTTTCAGTTCTGTTTTAATCACATTCCTCTAGCTGTTTGAATGACTAGAGTTAACAGGGAACTTCTTAAAGTTAATAGGATGCAAGTCATACAGCATCTCAACAGGGTTGTTTCAGCAGCTTTTAAAAGCAGAACCATGCTTTTGTCTCAGTTAGCTCCTTTTGATGCTGACAAAAGTTTTCCTATTGACTTCTATGGAATCAGTGTAGGTCAGTGCTATGCATTTTGAAATTGTCCCCTCCAGGAGTTTACAAACTGGTGAGGCGGGAAACCATCAAGTCACCTGAATGTGTACTCCCTGGTTGGGAGAGTGACATTTAAAAAAACAAACCAAGCAATCCAGCAAACCAGTTGAGTTTAGTATTATTGTATATTGAAGTAAAGATGGGGAAGCTTTCAGTAAAGCTTAGAAAGCTATCTATGACCATACCTAGCTTTGAGAAAGAAAACTTTGCATGCAACAGCAGCGTGAGTTTTATCAGCTGAAACATTCATTAGTATACAAGTGGCATCACGCTACCCTCGGCTAATCTATTAGAGATTTTTCTGGTTACCTTTCTCTCCCAGTAGAAGCAAACAAAGCAGAAGACAATTTATTAGTATTGTTTTATTGCTCTGCTTTCTATGTGCTGATTTTCAGATGACTTTTCTTTTACATGTTGCTGACACTCCTTTGAATGACACTTTGGTTTAAAACGTTGATATCTTTTTCCAGCTTGGGGATTTTTAGGTCTTTATCTTGTGTTATTTGTTACGTCTTGCTAGTCTCAATAGAAACAAATTTTTAAGCTCATCTTGCAGTGTATTTTGGACTTCACATGTGATACATCTTCAGAACAGAAATTGCCTGCCTGCAACGTAATTTTTTTAAAATAAATTTTCTTTATAATGTGAAGCAGTTGCTGCATAGAATATTT